ACAACATATCTGTCCATAGAGGTCTGTACCTATCGTTCCTTTATGACTTTCCTAAAGTGGTTCACAACACTGTCAGTGTACAGGTTGCCAACACGGCTTGCAACAGCTGTCTGAGGGTGATTTTCATCCATAAAGGTTTGCACTTCAAGCCACTTTGCACAGATTTCCTTAATCTTTGAAGTAGGCAACTTCTTCAATTTCTCTATCCCCTCCTCCGAAGCAGTTTCCTCAGGTGTGGCCTCTTGCTGTTGAAGTTGATCTAGCAGCTCATCAGTGGTTAGTTCTTCATTGTCCTCCTCCACCAACTCTTCCACATCCTCCCCACTAACCTCCAACCCCAAATACTTCCCCAATGCCACAATTGATTCCTCAACTGGCATACGCCTCTCAGGGTTAGCCTCAAATCCTTCAAAATCCCTTTTGTCTACACATTCTGGCCACAGTTTCTTCCAAGCAGAGTTCAAGGTCCTCTTAGTCACTCCCTCCCAAGCCTTACCTATAAGGTTTACACAATTGAGGATATTAAAGTGATCTCTCCAAAATTCTCTTAGAGTCAGTTGAGTTTCTGAGGTCACTACAAAGCACCTTTCAAACAGAGCTTTTGTGTACAGTTTTCTGAAGTTTGCAATGACCTGCTGGTCCATGGGCTGCAGGAGAGGAGTGGTATTAGGAGGCAAAAACTTGACCTTAATGAAGCTCATGTCCCCACAAAGTCGCTCTGCCAAGTCTGTAGGATGACCAGGGGCATTGTCTAACACCAGGAGGCACTTAAGGTCTAATTTATTTTCAATTAGGTAACTTTTCACAGTGGGGGCAAATGCTTGGTGTAACCAGTCATAGAAAAAGTCCCTAGTGACCCATGCCTTACTGTTTGCCCTCCACAGCACACACAAATTAGCCTTGAGGATATTCTTTTGCCTGAATGCTCTGGGAGTTTCAGAGTGATACACTAATAAAGGCTTCACTTTGCAATCACCACTAGCATTGGCACACATTAACAGAGTAAGCCTCTCTTTCATAGGCTTATGTCCTGGGAGTGCCTTTTCCTCCTGAGTAATGTAGGTCCAGCTTGGCATTTTCTTCCAAAACAGGCCTGTTTCGTCACAATTAAACATTTGTTCAGGTTTCAGTCCTTCACTGTCTATGTACTCCTTGAATTCCTGCACATATTTTTCAGCTGCTTTGTGGTCCGAACTGGCAGCCTCACCATGCCTTATCACACTATGTATGCCACTACGCTTCTTAAATCTCTCAAACCAACCTTTGCTGGCCTTAAATTCACTCACATCATCACTAGTTGCAGGCATTTTTCTAATTAAATCCTCATGCAACTTCCTAGCCTTTTCACTTATGATCGCTTGAGAGATGCTATCTCCAGCTATCTGTTTTTTCGTTTATCCACACCAATAACAGTCTCTCAACATCTTCTATCACTTGCGATCTCTCTTTCAAAAACAAAGTTGCACCTTTGGCAAGAACAGCTTCCTTGATTGCCGTTTTCTTGGACACAATAGTAGCGATGGTTGATTGGGGTTTACTATACAACCTGGCCAGCTCGGAGACACACACTCCACTTTCGTACTTAGCAATGATCTCTTTCTTCATCTCCATAGTAATTCTCACCCTTATTCCTGTAGGGTTGGCACTAGAAGCTTTCTTGGGGCCCATGGTCACTTATTTTGCAGGTGAAATCACTAAAAATGCTGTAATAATACGAAATGTTCCAATTGTATGCTTGGATGTTACCGTGGAGGCTGGCTTGTAAACAATGCCACCGGCGGAACAAGTGAGGCTGGCTCAGGCCGCACATAGACTCGTCTCGGACGAATCGCGTTGAGTGAGTTTTTTAGCGCTAGGCGAGGCAAAATTTTAGCGATAAAATGTATCGCTAGGCGGATTTAACGTTATGTGATGCCAACGTTAGGCGGGGATCTACTGTATAGTAGTACCAACACTCTTATATGGGTGTGAAGCTTGGGTTGTAAATTCTGCAGTGAGTAGGCGGTTGGAGGCATTGTCCTGTCTAAGTGCAATGTGTGGTGTAAATATTATGCAGAAAATTCGGAGTGTGGAAATTAGGAGAAGGTGTGGAGTTAATAAAAGTATTAGTCAGAGGGCTGAGGAGGGGTTGTTGAGGTGGTTTATTCATTTAGAGAGAATGGATCAAAGTAGAATGACATGGAGAGCGTATAAATCTGTAGGGGAAGGAAGGCGGGGTAGGGGTCATCCTCGAAAAGGTTGGAGGGAGGGGGTAAAGGAAGTTTTGTGGGCGAGGGGTTTGGACTTCCAGCAAGCGTGTGTGAGTGTGTTAGATAGGAGTGAATGGTATTTGGGACCTGACGAGCTGTTGGAGTGTGAGCAGGGTAATATTTAGTGAAGGGATTCAGGGAAACCGGTTATTTTTATATAGCCAGACTTGAGTCCTGGAAATGAGAAGTACAATGCCTGCACTTTAAAGGAGGGGGTCTGGGATATTGGCAGTTTGGAGGGATATGATGTGTATCTTTATACGTATATGCTTCTAAACTGTTGTATTCTGAGCACCTCTACAAAAACAGTGATTATGTGTGAGTGAGGTGAAAGTGTTGAATGATGGTGAAAGTATTTTCTTTTTGGGTATTTTCTTTCTTTTTGGGTCACCCTGCCTTGGTAGGAGACGGCCGACTTGTTATAAAAAAAATTATGTAAATTAAAAAAAAAATAGAAAAAAAAAAAGGTATATCAGCAACTCTTCTGCAAGCAGCAGGACTCCATGTTGTCATCAGCTGAGCCTCCAGCACCAACTTTGCGTCTTTATATCTCGGTAAGTACTGACCCTAAAATTTTTTTTTTTTTGGTCATATGACGCTCAGAAAATTGTCCCTCCCCCCCCCCTTTTTTTTATTCAAAATATTCGGGGCTCTGGCAGTGACAATGTAGCTTTATGTTTGGACACTTAATGGGTTAAGAACTGAAGAGATTAAGAAGGAATAATGAAATGGTGATGCTGGAAGTTGATTTTATCTCAGTGAGACAGATATAGATCATAATGAATATGAGTTTCCCTTTCAGTAAGTAATCCTCGAGTGTTGATGTTCTGCTTCTAGTTGGAAGACAGCAGCATAAAAAAGAAGAGGGAATGGAGAATTGAGGTGGCTGATGTTTGAGAAAGATGACTTTGGAATGCTGAATTCAATAAATAGTACTCCCAGGAAATTGAAAATTTTAAACCAGATGTGCATAGAACTGACAGGCAAATTTTTTCTTAATCACAAGGAATATATGAAAGATTATGGGAGAAACCATTGCTCATCCAAGAATTTAGGAGACAAAAAGGATGAATTCTAGGGTGTTGAGAAGAGTATCGGAATCAAAGATGGATCTGACACAAAGCGGTAGTTATCACAGTTGCTCTGGCTGTTGACACATTTCTTTTGGAGGATTCTGAAGACTAATTGCAGAGGTTTATAGATGAATTTGGTAGAGTCTGTGAAAGAAGGAAATTAAAAATAAACTTATGAAAAGCAAGGTGATGAAGTAACAAATAGTCTTGGCAATGATTTATTGAATATCAGATTGGAGGGAGGGAGTATGGAGGAAGTAGATTATTTAGATATTTGGGAGTAATCAGAGCAGATGTGGACCACAGAATAGATGAGGGAATAAAGGTGGGTGATGTATTAAGGTATTTGTGGGAAAAAAAATTGTAGAGGCACAAGAGGGGAATGCAGTATAGTGGTACCAACACTTTTAGATACATGTGAGAAATGGGTTTTGACCGTTGCAGCGAGCAGGAGGCTAGAGAAATAAAGACAATTTGGGGTCACCAAGGGAAACCAGAAATTCAAATGGCTGAGGAGTGGTTGTTGAGTTGGTTTGGGTATGTAGAGAGGATGGAGAGGGATAGCATGATGAAGAGGGTGCATAAATCTGAGGTGGAAGGTAGGAGGGGTAGAGGTCATCACAGGAATGGTTGGAGGAAAGGGGTAAAGGATTTGAGTTGTAGGAGCTTGAGCCTCTAGCAGGCTTGTGTGAGCATGTTAGATACAACGGAATGAGGACAAGTAAATTTTTGATGGACATGCGGTTGGCATGTGAGCAAGGTAACACTTATGAAGGGATTCAGGGAAACTGGTTAGCTGGGCTTGCACTCTGAAGTTAAGAAGGGCAGTGTCTGCACTCAGGAGGGGTGGGGCATATTGCAGTTGGAGGGTAATATGAATTATGATTTCAGCACACTTCTGGCAAAACAACAGTTTGAGTGAATAATGGTGAATGTGTTTTCTAGTTTGGGTCACCCTCCATGACAGGAGATAGCTGTTGAAGTGAAAAAGAAAAAACTTTAGGAACAAAAGAGCATGAAACAATGTGTACAATAAGCCCAACTCCAAAGAACATGAAAGCTTTTAGAAGAGCCAGAAAGGAATATCTCTAGGTTTGGAGGGAAGCAGAAAATATGTTTATAATTGGATGTAGCAGAAAGGGGAGATAGATGTTTCACAGCCACATCAGGAAAAGAAATAACATTTAAGGCTCAAATGAGAACACTCAGCCAATGACCAGAAAGTTTACAATGAATTTAACAAAATTTCAGTGTTTACGAATGAACAGGGCCAGAAATAGCCAAGCATTTTCATTGAAACAACTAATAAGGAAATGAGAAAACTTCATGTTTAAGGATTTTAGGGAATAATTACCATAAAGATTAAGGTGGACCTACATTTATGTGCTAGCCATTTACAAAAATCCTTGACAAACCATAAGTACCATATAGCTATAATAAATATGCATAGATTTTTTACAACATATCCAAGGCAGTTACACTTTTGCATATAAGGCCTTTCAATACATATAGTAATTCAGATATAATTCTTGATATTTTATCTACCAATGGGAAAGATAATTTACTATACTTGCATCCTTCAGAGTTGGATTATGCCAGCTGTTGCCATGTATCATGATCAGTCAGCCCGAGCTCCAGTTTAGGACTTTACAAATTGAAGCCTTTTTTTTCTCTCCAGGTTTTCCATTGTGTTCACTTCGAGACACCTTCACAGGTGGGCTCTGAAAATCGTCCAAGACTGAGAGGTTTTGATCATGCTGTTGCTCCTGTAAGGCCTCATCATTCAAATAGTAGTGAAGATGATGATGGAGGGACAGCATCAGCAGCAGAAGCAGTTGCAGTTGTAACAGTAGATGCTCCTTCAGCAGCTGGAGTTGAGGGAGGAGTTGGGGTAGGTGGAGGTGCAGCAAGTGTTGGACTAAGTAATAGTGGTGGTTCTAGAGGTTTATGTAGAGCAAATGCAAGACCAGAACCAGTTGAGGAGGCTTTAGGAAGAAGGAGGGAGGAAGACCACTATCTACTTCAGGAAGCAACTGCTGAAGATGAAGCTAGTGCTGTGGTAAATCCTGTTGATCATCAAGGAGAGAGAAACATTGAAAATAAATAAATATACACTAGTTAAAGTTTTTTTTTTATTACGACTTGCATCTGTGCAAGCAAATATAAATTTTTTAGAGAATTACGATGTGTGATGTACTCACCTGTATGTACTTGCAGCTTGCCAGATTTACTCCCTCCTAGCCTCATGGGCCCTGTTGTACCTGCTCTTAAAACTATTTATGGAGCCTGCCTCCACCACTTCTTTGTCATGGTCATTCCACTTCCTGACCACCCTGAGATTGAAGAAATAGCAATACTTCCTGACACCCCTATGGTTCATCCATGTCTTTAACATCCAGGTGTGTTCCTGAGTACCTGTTTCCCACCTTTCAGACAAGTCTATCCCTGTCTACCTTATCAATTCCTCTTGAGTATTGTATATGTTGTATCCTCTGTTATCATAGTCATAGCTTTTATAGTCATAAGAGTGAAAAAATCCTGTTCAAAACAAATTTCAAATTGATGTATTTTGGCATATTTTGTTGATACTTTTAGTGTTGGATACAGGGGAACCCCAACTTAATGCATCTTAAAAAATTATATGGGTATGAAGCAATTAGTTTTTCGCCTATTTTTGTATTCTGTTGTGCAGTTTAATTTTTTTTCCTCTTTAATATCTTACAATTTTGGATAGATACACATCTTGATTAGCATTAAGCAATTGAAAGGGGATGAAATTTCATTAATTACATACTTGTTTAATGCTTACTACTTGACTTTATGTTAATAATGCATTAATGATATTCAACAATGCAGTCATCATTGTATAGTGGCGGTTATGAATAATATACAAGATGTCTCGTCAGTACTATATTATTATTATTGGTATAATAAGTTATGATTTTCATATATTTCATCCATATTTGTCACGAACAATGGTCACATATTATCTTTTCTTGCCCACTGTAGCCTACATGCTCAGTGTCCTTGATATTTGCCATTTAACTCAGTGCCTGGTATGCATGTCATAATTAGAAAAGATCGTTTGATAGACTTTAGCAGTTTTCATGACTCCTAAATTAACAGTTCTTTTAAACAAAATTTGTGTTGAAAGATTTATAAATATGCTAGATTAAAATAGTAATCATTTGTCTGATGTTTGCTATTAGACTAAAGAACTTCAAGAATATATAACTGGTCTTACCACAAAGATCTTATTCCTAAAATATAGAGAATTAAATCTCAGGTTAATCAGAGCAAACTATAATTGCATTTATTTTTTAATTCCTATGAATGATTAAAATTGTTTTAGTTTTTTACTTTTTATAGTTAAGCATTACAATTATGAACTTGCATTAATTCGACCTGTTGTATATCCAACTCTTCTTTCGTGGTACTGCTACTTAAAAATGCACATATTTTTATGTTCAGTTTTTTTGTAGAAAAAAGGCAGATTCTAGTGTAGTGTAATAGAAATTGTGATACTCTCAAAGAAAGTATAAACAATTTACTTGTCTGAAATGGGAGATATCCTTTATATTAGTATTCAACACTTGACAAAATATAATTAACAATACAGAAATGAACAGAAATTTCATACACTGCCTGTGACATAAAAAGAAGTTTATTGCTCATTACCAGCTTATCCATGGTTCTGAGGATCTGCACCAGATTTAAGTAGATAAGTTATATTTTGCAGTATACATAATTCTTTTTCTTTCTTTCTTCTTTCAACACACCAGCCGTATCCCACCGAGGCGGGGTGGCTCAAAAGGAAAAACGAAAGTTTCTCCTTTTACATTTAATAATATATACAAGAGAAGAGGTTACTAGCCCCTTGCTCCCGGCATTTTAGTCGCCTCTTACAACACGCATGGCTTACGGAGGAAGAATTCTGTTCAACTTCCCCATGGAGATAAGAGGAAATAAACAAGAACAAGAACTATTAAGAAAATAGAAGAAAACCCAGAGGGGTGTGTATATATATGCTTGTACATGTATGTGTAGTGTGACCTAAGTGTAAGTAGAAGTAGCAAGACATACCTGAAATCTTGCATGTTCATGAGACAGAAAAAAGGACACCAGCAATCCTACCATCATGTAAAACAATTACAGGCTTTCGTTTTACACTCACTTGGCAGGACGGTAGTACCTCCCTGGGTAGTTGCTGTTTACCAACCTACTACCTAGGTGTATACATAATTGCCCATAATAAATGAATAATACTTTAAAAAATACTTATTATAATGATGGTAATCTTGGAAAGTTTGTGATTCGGAGGTAGTACTCCAGTGTCTTAGAATATTATTATAAACAGCATAGAGAAACAAGTAAAGTAGTGAGATAATATAGTGTGAAAGATCAAGGAAATATGATTTTATTAAATATGGTACCTCCCGTATTTACTATATTTACAAGTGTTAAATCAACATTGGCGGTGATTTAATGATCACTTTTGTCCCTTGCTGTCTCTTAAGCCTTGTTACAGTGTGTTGCTTATTAAGCTCTTTTGTTCTATGCTAGCATAGTTTGTGGTGTGATGCAAATAACATACATGAACACAGGCAACCTCACTTAGTGACACTACATTTATGCATTCATCATCATTTGACTTATATAAATATTAAGCATTTTTCTAATTTAGTATGAATGTTCCTTATGACAAATTAAAACTATAATTTTTTTGTTATTTTAGAAGCTATTTTTATAAATTTAATAAATTCAGACCTTCACATTTTAATGTAAGTTATTACAGTTTCAAACTTACTTAGTGGGTGTTCCATGGAAATAAAGATTGGAAGGTTAACCCAGTAATACTAAGCATGTTTGTGCTAGTGAATTTTAGCAGGGAAACCTCCTAAAACCTGAGTTTTAAACATTGCAATGTGGGGGTGGTTGGTGGCAATGGAGATGTGTTTGAGGACAATGTGTGGTGTGAATGTTATGCAGAGGATTCGGAGCTTAGGGAATGGAAAAAGGTGTGAGGTTACCAAAAGTATAATCCAGAGGGATGAGGATGGGGTTTTGAGATGGTTTGGACATTGAGAAAGGATGGAGCAAAATAAGTTGAATAGGAGGTAATATAAATCTAAGGTGGAGGAAAGGGAGGGGGGGTAGGGGCCATTCTAGAAAAAGTTGTAGAGGGGGGTAAAGGAAGTGTTTAGTATTAAAAGCTTAGTCATCCAACAGGCTTGTGTGAACGTGTTAAATACAAGTGAGTGAAGGCAAGTAGTTTTGATGATTTGATGTGCTGTTGGAGTTTCAGCAAAGTAATATTTATGACGGGATGCAGGTGTAACCAGTTAGTCAGAGGGTATGTAGAAGAAGAGGGAAATTAACAGTGAACATAGAAAAGAATAAGGTGGTTAGGGTAACAAAAAATCTAGGCAATGATAGATTGAATATTGAGTTGGAGGGAGGGAGTATAAAGGAAGTGGATGTATTTAAATATTTTGGAGAAGCCATGTCAACAGATGGGTCTATGACAGATGAGGTGAACCATGAAGGACAGGGAAGGGAATGTGGCTGGTGTGTTGAAGTATCTCTGGAAAGAGAGAAATTTATCAGTGGAGGCAAAAAAGGGAACATGGAGTATAGTGGTACCAACACTTTTATGTAGGTATGACTTTTGAATGCTGCTGTGAAAAGGAGGCTAAAGGGAGTGGAGATGTCATGTTTGAGAGCATTATGTGACTTGAATATCATTCAGAGAATTTAGAGTTTTTTTTTTTTTTTTTTCAACAAGTCGGCCGTCTCCCACCGAGGCAGGGTGACCCAAAAAAGAAAGAAAATCCCCAAAAAGAAAATACTTTCATCATCATTCAACACTTTCACCACACTCGCACATTATCACTGTTTTTGCAGAGGTGCTCAGAATACAACAGTCTAGAAGCATAAACATATAAAGATACACAACATATCCCTCCAAACTGCCAATATCCCAAACCCCTCCTTTAAAGTGCAGGCATTGTACTTCCCATTTCCAGGACTCAAGTCCGACTATATGAAAATAACCGGTTTCCTGAATCCCTTCACTAAATATTACCCTGCTCACACTCCAACAGATCGTCAGGTCCCAAGTACCATTCGTCTCCATTCACTCCTATCTAACACGCTCACGCACGCTTGCTGGAAGTCCAAGCCCCTTACCCACAAAACCTCCTTTACCCCCTCTCTCCAACCCTTTCGAGGACGACCCCTACCCCGCCTTCCTTCCCCTATAGATTTATATGCTTTCCATGTCATTCTACTGTGATCCATTCTCTCTAAATGACCAAACCACCTCAACAACCCCTCTTCTGCCCTCTGACTAATACTTTTATTAACTCCACACCTTCTCCTAATTTCCACACTCCGAATTTTCTGCATAATATTTACACCACACATTGCCCTTAAACAGGACATCTCCGCTGCCTCCAACCGGATTATGGGATTATGAATAAGTATAATTTAGAGGTCTGAGGAGGAGTTGTTGAGGTGGTTAAGGCATGTGAAGAGGATGGACAACGATAGGTTGATTGAGAGGGGTGTATAAATCTAGGGTGGAAGACTCAAGGAAAAAGGGATCACCCCAGAAATGGTTCGAGGAAGGATTACAAGAGGCTTTGTATTTTATGAGCAGCATCCAGCAGGCTTGTATGAGCATGTTAAGTAGGAGTGCATTGAGACAAGTGGTTTTTAATGGATGTGCTGCTGGAGTGTGAGCAAGGTAACTATAATTAAAGGAATTCAGGGAAACCAGTTACCTTACTTGAGTTTGGAGATGGGAAGAACCTATATATGATTGCAGAGGTTGTGTTGAGTCTTAGCATCTGGACCTACCTCTCAACCTGCTGCTTGCCAGATTCTTTCAACTAGAATCATGGGCCCTGTCGTACTCATTCTTAAAACTATGTATCGAGCCTGCCTCTTCAAATCGTTAGTGCTCCCTCACTTAGAATATTGCTCAAGTGCTGACGGCCCCATTCAAAGCAGGAGAAATGTCGGAGCTGGAACAAATACGGAGATCGTTTATTGAGCCTGTAAAGCACCTAAACTACTGGGAATGCCTGCAAGGCTTGAACATGTATTCATTGGAGTGGAGGAGAAAGAGATAAATGATAATATATACCTGGAAAATACTCGAGAGCCAGGTCCCAAATCTGCACACTGCCATAGCAACATACTGGAGTGAGAGATATAGGAGGAAGTGTAAAATCAACCCAGTGAGGAGCAGGGGTGTGGTGGGGACAATAAGGGAACACTGTATCAACATCCGGGATCCCAGACTATTCAACATCTTACCAGAAGATATCAGAAATATGGCTGGAACAAGTGTAGAAGCCTTCAATAGGAAACTGGACAAGTATCTTCACCAGGT